AACTCAAGTCAAGAATCAGTTGGACTTGTTTAAGCTTTCCGTCATAAGTAGACCTTTGTCCAGAAGGTAGCTTCACTTTCTTTCTGTTAAAGAGCATCGCATAATGGTTGGACAGTGCCTCAAGCTCCTGTGAATAAATAATATCGTCAAATTTACAAAATGCCTATTCAAAACAGATATAAACATAAGTACATTTGCAATTAGAGAATGGAAGCAACCTCCAACTGTTCTGGACCCCCATAGATATAGAAGCATCGGTCAAATGTAGCCTCCTCATCTACATCTCCTTCAGTTCCCTTGGTCTCTTTATCAACTTCAATACCAGTTTCAGAGATTAGAAGATCCATGGTTTCTATACCAAGTCGCTCAAGCACTTGCATTCCCTTAGCAGTAAAAGCTTTTCCAGTCTACATGGTAGCACAAGCATAAAACCATAAAAAGCAGTGACAGTACTAAAACATTGAAAAAGATAATCAGGACATATGTGCAGACCTCTAGTATGGATGGTGCAACAGAACCTGTTGCACCTGGTAAGCCGCCTTTCTGAACATGTTGAATGGATTCCTCAAGCCTGAATAAGAACAACAGAGGATTATATTATGACAAATTACCTGGGGGTCCGAGGGGATTTTCTGTTCATTTTTTAGTAACAGTCTTACAAATGAAGGGTAAATGCACAATTAGGTAATATTGTTGCAATTCAGGTAAAAACAGGCATACTTGTGAACAAAACTAGAACCGCCTTTGAATGCATTTCCTAGTGCTTGCCATGCTCCTGAAGTAAAACTCTCGACTGAATTATCAATAACCTTAATTCCCTGTATAAGTTGTTGAGAGGTAAACATGGATGGCCATACGAAACAATTTGAGTAAAAACCTTGCAGGCAAGGTCAGATATTCAAATACAGAATATATGCAACAACATAGAGTATTGACCCCTACATTAGACAATCAAACACAGATCCCTTAAAAAATTCATTATTGGCTTGCCTGTCCAAGGAAGGATTCCTCGCTGGCTTTCTCTAATTTATTCAAAGCCTCCTTGCGTCGTTTGTCATTCTCATCTTCACTTTCAACCTCAACTGCAGATGCTTCACTTTCATGATCTTCAGAAGGTTCAGACTCCTCATCCACATCCTGCACATCAGAAATGCTTTTTGCTGCTGTTTTAGCTGCCTCAACAGCCTGCAAAAATGAAAGCTTTAATAACTAAAAGTCCAAAACTGTCATGGGAGTGAAGACATGAGAATTAATACGGTTCAAAAAAGTATTGTTCAGGAAAAATATCACAAACGCAACACAACCCAGAATAGAATGAAATTCAATACTTGGCTGATTAAGAGATATTCAGCATTGTCTTAAACAAGCAAGTGTTTTCTTAACTCAGCCTTGCTTACCAATCACTTTGCAAACACTCCCTAAAGAAATAACAGGTTCAATTCAGGAAACATTAGATTATACTTTTAAAATATTGTAAAGTTAATTTCCCTTGCGTAGTATTTCCTAAGAATGAAAATGCTAGTATGAGTATAACTAGAATCGTACTAAGCAGTTTAGCACCAGAAGAGAATAAGGAGAAGGCCATTTTAAATACAAACAGGCATTGAACTTCACACGCTAAACTTAAAAAAAAAAAGATGGGCGCATAATTTGTGCAGTTCTAAGATACGATCTATATGTACACTAACAATTTCGAAGAAACAAAGCTCAGATGAGATGGAGAAATGAGAAATGTACATTGCGAGAGATCTCTTCGGCAGCAACGGCAGCTGCCTTCTGAAGGTCGGAGAGGTAAGAGAATGCGGAGAACCCCCATCCGCCCCACCCCCCACCTCCATCGCCGGCGCTGCCTCTTTCGACTGGGCGTTTTGGAGCTTCAGTGGGCAGTGATGCAGGGGTCGTCGTATCCCCAAATTCTTCGCATTCCTGTTCAAGCTTTATCTCTTCTTCTTTCGAAGAGGATTTGTTTGTCATATCGGCCATTTGAGATTTGAGTGCTCAATTTCCCGCCGGAGCGCCGAAGAAAGACAGATCGCCTATTTCCCGGTCAAGTTCACTGGTCGGGTGTGTTTCTAATGGGAACCGAGTAAACTATGATTTCGCCATTCGATCTGGTTCGACGCTTGAAGAAGGTTAAATGGTAATTGAGCGTGCAATTAGATTTACCCATCATATTTTCTTGATCAAATATTTTTTTGTTTTAAAAGAATATGAATGTGATAAAAAAAATACGGAGTAATTGATTATCTTTGCACAATTTCATTAATATTTTTTTTTGCATAATTTGGATTATTATTCCTGTTTACATCACATATCCAATGTAATATTAATTTTATTTATGTCCTACAATGTACATAAAGAGTCCTCCAAAAAAAGTATCTAAATTGTTTTTACTTTATTCTTATTTTATCAATTCAATAACGATTCATCAACACTCTAAACTGATTCTCTATTTTATACAACATAATCAATATCAAGCACTTCACAAAATCACTTTTCTTATACAACATAACCAATTCTACCCCCTAAAACTAATCGATTGAAAATCACCAATAAAAAAATCAATTGAAGTTATTTCACTCAATATGTAAATTTGCGATTTTAAAACTGATGTGTGGCCACACGTAAATACTGTTAGATTATTTATCGCACACCGGAAAGCTATAAAACAATAAACCATTATATAAGGCTTTGGATTACTCCTCCTATCAGGTTGACCTTTTAGGATAGAACCTCGTGTCTTAACATGGTATCAGGGCCAATTCCGGTTGTGGTTTGATAGCTTGTTAAGTAGCACCCATGGTTACCGGTGGGTCTGTTTGGCCCATTTATACACCCCGATATTGTCCAGCCCGGTTCGGGCTGAGGGGGCGTGTTAGATTATTTGTCCCACACCGGAAAGCTATCAAACAATAAACCACTATATAAGGCTTTGAGCTACTCCTCCTATCAGGTTGACCTTTTAGGATGGAACTTCGTGTCTTAACAAATACACCAAAATGAACATCAAACAAATTAAATGGTTAAACACTAATATTGTACATTGCAAGAACTTTCGTCTAAAGTAAAACTTTTTTTTATCATCAAAACAGGCCTCTATTCATATCAAAAGATTCAGAATCATTACAGCAAGCAAATGAAAAATAAAACTGACACCAACTGAAACTCCAACAACTACGACTGTAACCCTATGGTGAGACTTTGAGACGGTTACCCTGAAAGAGCAACACGAATCGCTAACCATGTAGTGGGCATGACACAGCCAAACTTGTTCCAATATATCCAACCATACCCAATGACATAAAGAGAGGCTAAAAACTCAAACATATTGTCAAAACCAACAACAAAGATGAACACAAAAAAACAAATGACAAACAGATAAAAATTACTAGGAAAACTCTCACAGACTCTAGCACCTCGTACAACCCATGGTGGTGGTTCAGGCGGAAGTCGGACCGTCGCTCGATTGATACCCTTTTTCAGTGGAGTACCCGTCGTATGACTCAAATCCATGCCATCAAATGGAGCATTCAGCCTCTCCACGCTAGCCATGTCCCGATCATCCCTACGTCTCTCTCTCACTTCTTCCACCATCTTCTCGCTGTCACGATCATCCATCCCGAGCTACGTCCAAACTACAGCAATCCGGCGCAGAGCTGCGTCAATTGAAAGAAACGCCGCACCAGGGCGACGAAATATAAAAACCTTACGCGAGAGATCTCGCTAGGGAAACACGGACCGAACTTCGATCAAAAAAGATCGAAATCGGAAATTATCTAGCGGCGGCTCTGCCCTAGGAGCTCTCTAATCGACTACGATAAAGTAAATACACGCAATTTTAAAGTAAAGCTTATTAAATAAAAACATTAATTGGATCAATGAATACCGAGATTTATTTCATGAAAACTCTCGATGTGTAAGTTATTGCATTGACCCATATAATTCAAAGTATGCACCAACACGTTATGTGTTATGATGAGTCATGTACTCATGTGTTCATTTAATGGAATACCAAACTTAACTATTGGATAAAATAAAAGTCATTTACATTTTTATAATATTTATGAATCTGGATAATTTGACATGTTATGTCATAGCATTAAGATACATGTCCTCTAGGGGTCATACATGTCGTTCTGATTTAGGTCATGGCGTCTTTGAGTAATTATAATGTAAGGGGGTTTGACATATTGTTTAAACCATGATGAGATAATATGCAAATTAAATTTGTATATTAATAAGAGGTTTTGTGGATTAAATATTCAACCATAAATATCCATATTCACAAAATTTAAGAATAATTTATGTTGATAGAATAAAATCACATGGGCAAAGTACAAACACCACATGGGTAACGCCTGAGCTAAAGACTAATTTTCTAATAAATCTAGATATATAAGAATTAATTATGTTCATTTTGTGTTACATGCGACCTCTCTATGTATCATGTATGTATTGTGCTCTTCTTGTATTGCATCCTTTTTATGGGATATGTGTTTATATCCCGTCCAAATAAAAAAAACTATTATTTCCATTAAAATGAAAAAAATGACACTTCGTAACAACATACTCCGTACAAAGTATTTCAAGGGTCACCAAATATATGATATAATGATAGATATTTCCTTTAGTTTATATTTGCGATTTAACATTTATTATTCTTTATTAGTTATCCTTTGACTTTATTCTAATCTTTTTTTTTTTCATAATTTTGATCTATGTTATAAATTATGACTTTTATTATGCTCTTTTTTAGTAATTATAATAAGGTTGAACTTGATATTTAGAGTCAAATTCATGAGATTGATTGTAGTTTAGAAAGAGTAAATGAATATACTATACAGGCTCTCGTTCTGTGATTGAAATCATTATAGAATACCCCCTCTATATCAGATCATAGGTTGAATCATTTAAAAAGAGAGACATATGATGTCTGTCTTTCTAAAGACTTAATGTAGTTATGTCCCTAGACTCACAGGGGGGAATGTATTGTAGTTCTTGATTTCGATAACGCTGGTACTTTATTTTAATTTTTTTATAGTTTAAGTATAAAATCCATGAGGTATCATGATTCAATAACTCCGTAATGCGGAGTTTTTTTTTTGTTTATGTAGTATTGAGTTTTCATGTACGCCATTTTTTCCACCAAGAAAAATGTTACAATGACAAAGAATATATGATGGTGTTGATGCACTCCTTAATAGCCATGGAAGATTGGTGGCGGTGGTGCTGCATATACAGATCCCAAGTCTGGAGGAAGTACTACATCCGGAAAAGTCGGTGGTGGTGGCGAGAAGATAGGTGGTGGCGGGGATAGAACAAGAGATGAAGGTGGTGGAGGAGGAGAGAAGGTTGGTGGCGGTGGGGAAAAAACATGTGGGGGAGGTGGGGGAGAGTAGGACCGCTGAGGTGGCGGTGGGGATAAAACATGTGGGGGAGGTGGAGGGGAGTAGGCCTGCTGAGGTGGCGGTGGAGAGAAAACGCGATGAGGTGAGGGTGGGGGTGATGCAACTAGCGGGGGTGGGGGGTGAGGTAACTGGTGGAGGAGGAGAAACTAACGGAGTTGGCGGTGGAGGAGAAACTCTCGGAGGTGGTGGTGATGGAGAAACAGGCAGAGGTGGTGGCGAGGCAACTGGTGGTGGAGGAGTAGACATAACCGGAGGCGGTTGAGTAATTTTTTGCTTGGGTGGAAGAGTCGAATCTTTGGGGCTCGGAGTTGGCTTTAGTTTGGGTGAAAGGGGAGCTTCGGTGCTAGGTGTTGGCTTTGACTTGGGTGGAGTGAAAGCTTTGGGGCTCGGACTAGGCTTTGGTTGGGGTGGAATTGAAGCTTTAGGGCTCAGAGTTGGCTGTGACCGAGGTGGAGGCAAAGCTTTGGGGCTCGGAGTTGGATTGTGTTGGGGTGAAATTGAAGCTTTGGGATTTGGAGTTGGCATTGGCTGGGGTGGAGGTGAAGCTTCAGGGTTCGGATTTGGCTTAAGATGGGGTGGCAACGAAGCTTTGGGGCTCAGAGTTGGATTTAATTGCGGTGGGAACAAAGATTTGGGGCCTGGGGTAGGCTTTGGTTGAGGTGGAACTGAAGCTTTAGGACTTGGATTCGGCTTTTGTTCAGGTGGAACCAAAGCTTTGGGGTTAGGAGTTGGCTTTTCTTTAGGTATGCGAGCTTTTGGGCTGGGAGATACCTCTGGTGTATCCGCTCTGTGAGTTTTCTTCTTTGGACGTTCTGATCCAGGACCAGTTCCTCTCGGGCCAGCCCGACAACCCGTTTTACTACAATCAATCGGTTTGCTCAAAACTTCTTGACATTTTTTCCATGTTTTCTGATTTCTCATCCCAAGTAAACAATTTTGTCGATTATCCACGTCAACTTCAGCCTGAGGAGGAACACACGATTGATCCTGTGTCTCGAAGTAATTATCCGAAAATGACAAGTTTTTTAGATTTGGCAAGGTGCATAGGTTTTCAGATACATGACCGTAGAACTTATTGTCATCAAGATCCATCACCTCCAAACCCTGCATATACTCCAACCCAGCAGGCAACTCTCCAACCAACCTATTATTCTTCACATCAAACACTGTTAGATTTTTCAGCAACGTGATCTCTTCGGGTAAACAACCCGAGAATCCATTACCCAATAGTAGCAATTGCTCCAATGTGTCTTCCATCTGTCCAATACTTCTCGGAATGCACCCTTTGAATCTATTGTTAGCCAAGACCATAATAGACGTGGTTGAGTTTCCGAAATTCTCGGGTAGAATCCCCTCTAAGCGGTTGTCGTTTAAGAAAAGTGCGTCCAATTCTTTGTCAAACAAGCTCGGCGGCAGTTTTCCTTCGAAGTTATTGAACCGAAGATCGAGATATTTCAGGGAGGGTAGGCCCACAACTACACGGGGGAACGGGCCAACAAACCGATTGTTGCTAAAATCCATCTCGAAAAGAAGTTTGAGGCTAGAAATGCTTCTAGGAATGATTCCGCAAAACCGGTTGGAGTTCAAATGGATAAGAGCTACATCCGTTAATAGCCCAATCTCGACTGGAAGGTGGCCTGCGATGTCCCCGTGATTAAGGTCAATACCCGCTACAACCCAAGACTTGGGATCATCTAGAGCATGGTCACAAAAGACTCCATTATAAGAACAAACGTTGGGTCCCACCCAATTCGAAGTGATATTTTTTGGGTCTGAATAGATGGCCTTCTTCCAAGCTTGGAGAGCAACATAAGCCTTTTTTTGTCTATTGTTGGCAAATTTCAAATTTTTATTGTCAACCTTGTCCTCAAAATTAAAATCCTTAGGGAGGTCTCCCCTCCCATAAGTCAAGAGCTGGCGGCGGGTAATGTAACTCACCTGGGCATTAGTTAATGAAAGAGAGGGGGGAAAGAAAGAAGAAGCAAGGAAGAAAAGGAAAAAGTAGCCATAGGCCTTATTCATGGTCAAACGCGTACCCCTCGGGTTGACCCAAGGCTACTACTCACTCAACGTTGGAACAAAAATGTAAAGAGGTGGTCTTGTTATATACATGGAGAGGTGATTTTTGAATTTTGAGGTTGCCATTCAATGCCTCCCCATATAACAAACAATTATTTCTAAGTGTTTGAGGCACAATTGTCGGAGTGCAGGATATCCATCAACCAATATTCTCTCACCTTGTTTACCGTACAATATTCATGGACACAAACATTCTCATGATGTATAACTTCACGTCATTTGTTTAATTTATCTGTCATAGTATTTTAATATATATTTGGGGTTGGTTATCGTTCATTACACTAAAAAGATTTAATCCAGTTAATTATCTAAATTCAATGTTTCATATAAATAGAAAATGTTTTATCATTTTCTTTTGTTTCTTTTTAATTTTAGTTGTTAATAATTTAAATATGCAATCTGGTTGATCTAGTTATGAATTATGATGCGATGTCTTTCATGAAAAATGCATGGTCTAGATGAGTGGTAAGGCCATTAGAGTATGCGCCATTGTAGAAAAAATTATATAATATTATATTATCCACATCAAATGTGGTATAATTCCATCATCCTCCCCCCCCCCCACTCTCGATACAGGTGCGTAGCCAAACACTGAGCCGGTACAAAAAAAAATTCTGGATACTTTTTTACAAAAAAAAATTATGCTAATAATTTGGAAATTATTAAAGTTTGGGGGTGGGCCAGGGCATAGGTTACCCACTAGCTACGCCAGTGCCACGATAGTCACAAAATGTTGCACGGACTATGCATAATATATTTTCATAACAGCACATGCCTTAAGAGTCCAACAATTTGTTTGCACCAAATATTACATGGGGATGTGGCCACACCGACTAAGGATCAAATTGTCCATAATTCTACTATATTAAGACTTGAAAATATATCCTAGAAGATCAATGTTATAGAGGTTGATTAAAGCCTTATATATCTATTTTGTTTCATAGTTGTTTATGTGGAATGATTTCTTCAACAATGGTTAAGTTGCAGTTCACAATTTATCTCTTAAGTTGTCGCACACGGATCCATTGGTGATAGATAAATGTTCATAATCACCTAAAACACATAAGCGCAATGATACCGTCCTTCGCCCTGTGAATAAGGTCCAAGAGGGGCATTGCCCAAAACACTAGGCCGGTCCTACAAAGACCGACCATTACATCTCATTGGTCGACCAATTATACTCAGCCTGGAAGTCGTGCAGAAGCTTGGTATTCAACCTATACATCACACACAATACATAATCGTCACTAGACTACACTAGATACTCAACCACAACACGGTTGACCCATTTCTTATTAGGTCCGACCTCCTGACCTCACACCTTCTCAGAACTCCTTGCCAGGAGCATTATCTTTTCAAAAGTCCTACCCTCTTTACCAATAGACATAATCCCCGATATTGTACGACTCATGCAAGATACATGTTAGCCTAATTAAACCTAGATAAGGCAAGTATTTGATAGTCTTGTATCATTCAATTAAGCTCTATAAATGTCTTAAGACAAGTTCTATAAGTAGTGTTGTATCATTTAAGCTCAATAAGACAAGCTGTATAAGTAGTCTTGTACGATTTAAGATCTAAAGTCAAGTGCTTGATAGCCTAGTTAAAGCTCTTAAACTTAGATAATACATGTACGACCTCCTTGCATCAGTGTGCATTCAAATCCTGATTCATGTCATTTTTAACAGAATAATACACTCCCACCTTTCTCTCTATATAAAGTCTAGTTTTGCTCAGAACTCGAGTCGCTACCTCGCTAAGCTGTACAATGACCTAATTTGGATCAACAACTCTTTACGCTCATCTCGACATGGGAGACCAATGAATGTAGCAATGTCTCTGTCGTATATCATATCCTTATATCATGTTTACCCTTTCAGGAAAAAAGTTTATGTTCTTCAATGATATGAGATTAACTTTATTTGTAGCCTTCACGCGAGCTCTTTATTGAAAAAAGGTACACTACTAAATACAAAAGTTTTGGATTGTGTAATTATATGCCCTTACAGAAGAAGAAAAAAAGTTGCACACTCAACATGAAACTTCATGCTTTGAGAGGGTGTTAAATATGTTGAATATTTCTCACGCACCAACCAAATTTGAGGTAAGAAAATACATATACTACGTATAAAATACTTGGGCCTTTTATGACAATCCCAAATCTTCACCATTTAATTGAAATGGTCCAAATTTTTCTAAAGAGTATTGTCACTTGAAACAAAAATAATGTTAAGTTATATCTAAATGATGAAAATAAAATGTCATTTTCATCATCATATGCTACAATAACATGTAGATGTGTCATTACATAGTCATATAACGGTTTTTGACACTATATAAGGGTTTTTCTTGAATGACACTGTATAAGTGGTTATCAACAGGGGCGGATCTGCCGGGGGCCAGGGGGCCGGTGCCCCTGCTTAGGCCGCCGAGCTAGGGTATGGGTACAGGTTTGGGGGACCGCCGAAGCTGTCCGCTGATGTTTTCCGGCGTCCTGTTGGATGGCTGAGGAATGTTCGCCGGCTGCAGGTCAAGGAAGAAGTCGAGTGCTCGATCAGATGAAGCCTTTTGGTTTTTAAAACAATACGGCGTCGTTTGGACTCCAACTTGGGGGGGGGGGGGGGGGAATTTAAGTGTGAATTGGGCCAACAAAGGCCTAATGCTCAGCAGCCTGCAGCCCAACTAAGACCAAGCCTTGAAACCCCAGCTAATCCAAAAAACAGGTACCGACAACCCAGTTACGCCAAACGACTTCCGCCCCTGCCCCTTTTGCAAGACCAGCAATCACTCCAACCAGCTAAGCAGCAGACCAGCAGTGAGCCACGCCGGACGCGATCACGCCGCCACACGGACCGCTAGCCGCCAGTTCGCCGATTTCGGATTTTCCAACTTCCTATTTTTATATTTTTAAATTAAATTAAAATTTTGTACCCCCTCCGTGTCGCTAAGATTGTCCTAGACACTACATTTGATCAACACAGACCACTTTTAATCTCTTACTTTATATATCAAATTTTTATCAAATGTGATTCAGGTTTTTGCGACTTTGTAAAGTTTTTAATGTAGTTTCTGGATATGTATTTTTTTCCCTAAAAATAATTTGAGAGAGGACATGGATCAGTTTGTTTTATGGTCGTCAAACATCGTAAACCAAATTGTCTCAATCTGAATGGGATGGAGGGAGTATTTCACTATTGATTTTTGTAAATTCATAATTATGATTTGAAAAATATGTAGTGTAAATAGTTTGAATTAAATCTAATGATTATGTATTATTGTGTTAATGTATTATTTGTATTAAATTAAATCTAAGTAGTCTGTTACGTAGAAAGAGATGAGTTTAGACGCATCGATAATGAAGTTATTATCCAACATTTTCAAAAGATGAGGATCCGTACGTTGGATGTAGCATCACGACGTTAATCCTTTTGATTAAATTTGTTATGTTTATTAGTGTAATTTGTTAAGACAGTTTTATTATTAATGTGATGATTTATGATTGTGCCCCTGTTTAAATTATTTTCTAGTTCCGCCACTGGTTATCAAAAAGGTTAAAACTAGTATTTTTATATAGTAGATGCTTCAACTGAAATTGAAATACTTAAAACTAAAAGATGTAATCAAATAGAAAAATACTTAAAAATACTTTTACCATTTTCTAATCATGAAATATTTCACACATCGGTAAAATATAAGACTAATTCTCAAAGGTTGATCTTTTAGGATGCAATTCCAAATCTTAACATTGTATTATGCCAAACTTATCCATCAACTTGTTGTGGACCATATGCAAATGACGATGATTATGAAAAACTATGACGAATTGATGACAAAAAATGATGGTGGAATGATTCAGACAAAGTGTATGGTCGTGAGGGGAAGTGTTAAGTATTTTCCACATTGGTAAAATATGAATCAATAAACTACAATATAAACATATCATACTGCTCCTTCTATCAGGTTGATCTTTTAGGATGAAATCTCTATGTAATCATCTACTATTGTCAAAAAATGGTGTGATCCACATATTGTCTCACATCGATAATTAACTAAAATGGTTCAATCACACGAGCATAATTATTCCAAACACATTTCGAGTTTGTTTAATTTTACCCGTAAACAAGCATAATTTTTTTTATTAATGCTAGGATCTGATTTACTAAAACTAAATGTAGAAGATGACACCCTTGAGGTCGGATGTCCTAACCGTGTATGCTATAATTCTTCTGAAACCTTTGTCTTCACCAGATATGCTCATTCATCTCCCAAGCTATGAAAATAGTACCTCCCCCCCCCCCCCCCCCCCACTAGCTTGCCCTCTCCAATCGGCATTTTCAGAGGTTGGTTTTGTGCCACACATATTTTATGAGTAAAAGTACACCGCGGTTCAAAATATCAATCAAGCATGAAATGAAAGTAAATGAGATTGCAAGTGAGTCCGGCACAAACAACACTTTTTCGAACACACATCTTGAACTCAACCTGGTTCTTCCTATGCATGTAGCTTATGAAGTCTCTCCATTAGGTAATGAGACCGACAATGTGGGCATATATTCTTTGGCAAATATTAGTTCTTCTTTACTAGTCTTGTGATAGGAACCTCTAGAATTAGACTTGTACAAAATGAGCTCAAACTAGGCTTTTTCTAAGTTTTTTTCCCATTAGTAATGGGCGGCCCCAACCCAGTCTGCAACAAAGAGGCCTAATCACATGTCAACACCCGTCCATAAGAGCGGACTGAGTAGTCCACTAGGCCGCCCGACAAGAGAAAACCGTGATTGTTTTCAAAATTATCAAACAAATTAGAACACTCTAAAATAACATTGCAGTATTTAAAAAATTATTTGTGTTTATGATGTTAATAGGCCTCTTACCACTTGATCAAAATATTTACACAAAAATAATCATGAAAAATTATACTCAATGTTCAATCACAAAGATATAAACCACATATATAAATACTATCGAACCATTAATATGTATAAAATAAAGATACCGGACCAAGTAAACGTTTAGGAACTGGTACTATGCGATTCCGGTTCCCAAAAACTTGCAATCGGGAAGCGGCAGTCCGGTTTGATCCGGAACTAGGGACACTTGTGCCTACAACTGTCCAACATAGGGATATTTATTTATTTATAGTAACAATAAAGATGATTTTACGTGGACTGGTTTCAATCCCATAAAAGACCAAACCGGAATAGGCTTAAATAGATCAGACCAAACTTCAATAGTTTTAAAATACACATAGATCAGACATCCACTAGACCAGACTAGACTTAAACAGACTAGATCATACCATATCTATTGTTTTATATAGTAAACTTGAGTTTTAAAACGATGATGTGTCAGCTTCTCATTGGGCAATGCAAATCTATTGTTTCATATAGTAAACTTGAGTTTTAAAACGATGATGTGACAGTTTCTCATTGGACAATGCAAATTTTATTATCACTACAATTAAAACAATTAATTATTTCAATGTTCACCACACTTAAAACCGTGCATCACAACTAATTTAGAGCAAGCTAAGAGGAGGAGAAAAAATCTCTCTTTTTAAAAGTGATATAACTTTTATGTTTATAATCAAATTTTTACAAAAAACATATCAAAATTCATAACTTTTTAAGATCTTCCATATGATACTAATATTATATATATATATATATATGTATAATATATAATATATATATATATATATATAATATTATATGATACTAATATTATATATATATGATGCAATATTATATATATATAATATATATAATAATATATGATACTAATATTATATATATATATATATATGATGCAATATATATATATATATATGATGCAATATGATACTAATACATATATATATATATATATATATATAATATATAATATATATAATATTATATGATACTAATATTATATATATAATATATATATATATAGACACACACACAAAATATCCATTATTTGATATAGCAAAAATGAGTTAAAAATTCTATTGATTAATAGAAATTCTATTATCACTATTACTAAAAAAAATTAATTCATAAAAGTTGACTCGATTCATCATTGCTACTCAATACATGCATCCCAGCTCATTTGAAGAAAGGAAAGGATAAAAAAGTCTTATTTTAGTGCATTATAATTTATTTATTTGTACAAAAAGAGTATAAAAAAAATCATAAATTTTTATGATATTTATTATTTAATATGACAACATATTGCATATAAAACAATTGTAAAAAATGCGATATAAATCAATGATATATCAAATTTATAGTGGAATTCAAGTTAAATGTGCTTTATGGTAAGTGCACATTTACACAACAGTCGTGACATGTATTAGGAATTCAATTTTTATTATACATTTAAATGTATTTTTTATTTAGTAAAGTAGGACTACAAATTGCTGACATGTCACGCTATCATTGATTAACAAAAATCTATTATCAGTACTATATATGATAATATTTAATTAGTTCCAAACAAAAAGGAGATGAACAACTACAATGGAAAATAGAGAAAAACAAAAGTAGGAGAAAAACGTTAAATAACTAACACTTGACATTATGTAAACTCCACACATAAAAACATAGAGATGGAACAACTTATGGAAAAGTATAGAGAAAAGGTATGAGAAACGTAAAAAAACATATCCTTAGAAGCTATTATGTTACCCTTATTCTTATTCTTATTCTTATTATTTACTCTGTATTACTTATTCCTATTTCATTCAGACAAGATCAGATAAAAAGTCAAATCAGATTATCATTCAATCTAGATAAGATTAAACAAGAAAAATTCAGATTAGACCAGAAACATTCGAATCAAATCAGAAAGGTTAAGACATAATTTGTTACTTTTACGATTATGATGATTCCGTGCTAACCTAAATATTTTTGTAGGTCATTAGCGTACATTGCTTCCATTGAAATTAATTTTGAATACAGTGGTTATTATTAGTCATTATTTGTATGTTATTATTATTCATAAAATATCATATATTATTACTATGGTTATTATCAATGAAAATATTATTATTTGACTATTATTATTAATGTACATTTATTGTTATTAGTATTCATAAGTGACTATTATTATAAATGTGCGGGTTATTGGTATCTATAATTTATTTATAATAGTAAAACTGCATATTACAATTAATGGTATTGGTAACACTTATTATGATGATAATCATAATTATAAAAATAAGGATAACTATAACGATAATAAAATGATATCTATTGTTTTATATAGTAAAACTGAGTTATAAATCAATGGTGTGTAAATCAATGATTGGTTACTAAAGATTTGATTATCACTCTTACTAAAACATTTAATTAATTCTCCTAAGTGCCAATACAAGTTCACACGGTCCATGAATATCTATTCACATTAATTAGGCCAACTCATTTGGAGAAAAGGAGGAGAAAAAATCTCTAACTTTTAAAGTGTTATAACTTTTTTATTTGTACTCTAATTTTCATAAAAAATATATCAAAATTTGTAACTCTTTATGATCTTTCATATGACACCAATATTGCAAATGTAAAAATAAAAAGTCTAAAGATCCAATTGATGAAGATTTTAAAGCTTAGAACTATTTTTTAAAGTCCAAAACTATTTTAAGTAGATTAAAATAATAAAATTAAGATTTCATAATTAATGTTTACATTTTTTAGTTAATTAAAAAAAATCTAAAACACCTGATTCCGTATTATCTATTGTTCTATATAGTAAACATGAATTATGAAATGTTACGTGTGACTCTCTTATTAAATTGGCATAATAAATATTAACATTATTTTAACTCATCGGGCCACAATGGAGGTGCAGTTTCAATTCACGGGGAAATCTACTATGTAACCCAACGAAACCGTATATAAGGTGGCCGGAAAGAGCCAAAGAGGCTATATCGGATTGTATCATGACATCAACGCTAATTATTTTCTTATTTCGTTCAAACATAAAATTAAATTACAGCGCATCGGCTGCAATAGCCGCAGCCGCAGTAACCACAACTGCAATGCTACCACAAGAAAAAAATTGATATAGACCAAAGAGTAAATATATGATATATGCTGATGGGTAATTTAATATATAGTCATTTAAAATATAAAAAATTATTATTATTTGTGGTTAGATCATAGTAAAAATGCGTTATATTAAACTTTGTATCCATGAATGATTGACAAATTGACGCGTCACTACTATAAAATTTTAGTAGTATTGAAACATCCTAATTGAGAAGTGCATTAAATACCTGTACACATGTTACTACTCTACGCGGGCAGGCCCATCAACGAGTATGGTGGTGACACATTGTGGTGTCATTAATGCTTGGAGATCGCTACTCCGTTGGTTGTGGTGTTGACTCTTATGTTGACACCTCATCCTAAAGCATGACTAAGGGGCGTAGTCGAAGAGTCTGATGCAAATGTAACGTTGGTACTTATGCTCCAAGAGTTCCTTGGTCACAACTTGTGGTTTGCCCAAATGAGTAACCTATCACCCCCACATGGGTCGGGCTGAAGGGTGCCATCAATGTCTGCCCTGGACTGAGCCAAAGTTGTCTCTAGAGGATGTGGGAAGAGGGACTATGACGTGGGCGGTGAGCTTGAGCCAATATGCACTATCAAAAATCTATTTAAAGACTAATTTACCCTTCCCTCTTTCACCATTTTGCCCCATAAACTTTAGTTCATTATTCATCCTCAATGAGATACGAGAGGAGGCAAAATTAAATGAAAATGAGTGCCTATAAACATATTTTTTTCATGTGTGTACGCGTTGGCGCTATTCACATGAAGTCTTTCTAAAAGATGAGATGTTTGCACTTGAATAAAAATTTTATGGTCTTGTCACGGGTATAAAATATGATACAGCTGTCAATGCTTGTGTGGCATCTGGGGGCGCCACGATATCCAAACGACCAACCTACCCTCATATGGTGCCAACTAGTTTCGCCCTGCCATAGTGCCATGGGCTCATCAAGAGAGCGATAATAGATCAGCTTCAACCTTACTCCATCAAGCATTCAAGCCAAATCATCTAAGGTAGAATAATGCATACTATTACCACCCGCATTACCGCCATGCCAAGTATTCCCGTTGGTCCGCAACAATCATAGGTCTATGCACGGTCACACATGAAATGTGTGTGACATAGGCTCCCCCTCTTTAAATCAATTCAACTCTAATATATAGCTTGTTTGAATTCGATTGAGTCTATTGTAAACTACTCAGATTTGATATGAGACTCAAATCAATTTAAGTAAAAACATTCTAGCATATATCATCATCATTAACCTAGGGGTGGACTCGGGCCGGTTCGGGCTCGGGCCCGGCCGGGCCTCGGTTCATGAAAGGGGAGACCCGGAACTGGCCCGGGTAACCCCCGGATCCAGTTCGGGCCGGGCTGGGCCGGGCTAGGCCGGGCCTCGATTCATTTTAATTTTTTTTTGGCTTTTCCTAATTAACCCTCAACCCTCCCCTCACCCCCAAATCACACCAAACCACCTCAAATGGCCCAAAATACCCAGCCCAACCCAAAAACTTAAAAAAAATTCAAAAAAAAAAAAAGATCAAAAAAAATAAATTGGCCGGACCGGGCCCGAACCGGCCGGGCCGGTTCACCTTTTCAGGGGCCCGAGCCCGGCCCGGAACCCCAGCGGGTCGAGCCTACCCGGACCGGTCCCTGGCCGGGCCGGTGGTTCGGGCCGATTTGAATAGTGACCGGGTCGGGCCGGTTCCGGGGCGGGCCGCCCGGCCCGAGTCCACCCCTACATTAACCCAATGCCGCAAAGGCACCTAGCCACCTACGGTGGGGTAAGGGAAAAACATTCTAGCATATGATAGAAAAAAATTATATTCTTATCAATCACAAAGGATTAAAGAGCGAAAAAGAAAGTGGGAAGGGGTAAAGGACTTTTTAAGGTGTATTATTTCTGATTTCACAATTACGTTTATTTTGAGACAATTTTTCTTCTCATATAATCATTATAACAAAAAGGACTATATAAAATAATAATAACATGAATAATATTAAATTATTTTGCATAAATGAAGACATGTCCTTATGCGCCATTTACCTTTACTTAACAACTATTTACAGACATACATAGTCCTACGGTCTTACCAAACACTTTCGGCAATGAGTTATACCATCAGGGCTAATTGGCTCAATTGATCAATTGATCAATCATAGACACTAACGGGACAAGCTAATGGCTAACAGTTTTAGGCCATAATACTAAAAGTACTTGTCAAACTATGACTTCCCCACCATCTACACATTTTTATTTGTTTATTAGTTCAAACCATACTCACTACTCTAAAAAAAGGGATGACACCTCATCCCTGAGGACCCCCAGCACCGACTGTACAACTAGCTAGGAGAATGAAAATTGAACTTTGATCCCACACTAATGGAAAGAGAGTGGGGCTTCATTGTTTGGAGTCGAACCCGAGACCTCTCCCTTGTGTCACTCCCTTCCTACTAGGTGAGCTACGGCCCCGGTATACTCACACTACTCTAAAGTACTACGCACACTATGAGTCAATGACTACTACCCTTGTAAAGATGGATGTATCAAATTATCAACCAGTTTAGTGATCTGGAGCGCGAGAGTACCATGCAGGGGCTCTCCCTTTACTCCTCAGTAATCTTGTGAAGGCTGAATCTGGCATCAAAGCTCTCTCTTCTTCTTCAATTTCTTCTCTTGACTTGGGCAACCCATCAGGCACACGGCATAACCTCTCCTCTTCTTTCTTTACACTGTATGTAGGCTTTTCGGCTTCATGCCTTCCTTTCACGGGTTTCTGCATGGCTGCGATTCCATGCAGGCATCCAATCAGGGATTTCACTCCACCCGCTTGCAGGATTAGCCTCTCCACGTCCTCCTTGGGTTCTTCTTTCTGATCCATTACAAAACACAACCATTTATCTTGATTCTTTGGAAATACGTAAACACTATTTATAGATTTGATTGTGGAACTTCAAACAACTTGGAGTTCTCTTGAACTTCAAACACTTCAGAAAATTTTATAACAAGAACCCACTTGATAGTAAGCATTCCTCCCTTACAAATAAGGACTTCACTTGAACTTATTTGAGTCTAAAATCCGACCAAAGTTCAAAGAGACAAAATTGATAGATTCAAACAAATCAAACCAGATCAACATCACATAATACGAAGCAAGTAGTGAGTAACAAAAGTTACCAAACCAAGCCAAGCCACTTAAACAAAATGTCAAAATAGACCGGACCTAAACATAGACCGGACCAAGAGCAACAAAATTCAATCCAAGAGAATATGTCTTAAATAGAGGTCAAAGTTTTCTCAAACTTATTACCATGAGTAAGAAGTGATAAGAGGTGGGCATCTAAACATGGGATTGAAGGGAGTGTATTTTTAAAACTTTATTCTATTTAACTAAATTTAATTTTATAGAGTTGAACAAGAGTCCTTGTCAGAGTTATACTACACTTGTTTATAACATTATTTTAAAGACCCCTAAACCAAGAGCCACAGTATAGTTCTTGGTTTTCATTTCAATTGGGCTAAAAATCGCTATGCTTTAGACTCGTCAATTTAAATCAGGTTTACCTTTGCTTATATTGTTTTGTTATTATGTGTATTTTATTACAAATTACTCTCTCTGTCCCATAGAGAGATTCTCATTACGGTTTACGATGCTTCACTGACGATAAAGCAACTTAATACCTGCGCACACTATGATGATTTTTAGTAAATAAAATTTACATATTCAGAAACTACATTAAAACCACTACAAAGCCTGATAAAAATATGTCAATTTGATAAAAATTTGATATCTAAAGCAAAAGATTAAGAATGATTTAAGTTAACCATGTGAATAGTGGACGGGACCTTTTGAATGAGAAGGAGGTAGTATTTAAGAGACTATTGGATAACACTGAATTTGGGTGAAATTGATGAATCAACTTAACCTAAAATTGATATTAATGATATTCAGGATAAGCAGTAGGAATGTGAAAAAAATGCACCCTTCATACACCGGACTTCGTCAACTTTCTTTTTTCGTCTGTCCAAAAAACTTGGGGTAATTTGAGTTTGCACCTCATTTTATTGTTCAAATTAAACTTTGCACCTCGTTTTTAAAAAAGCTTTATATTTGCACCCAATCCCATATGAAAAAGACAAAAAAGTACCTCGTTTATGTTAAAGACCAACAGAATTGTTAATGGGGGGCATTTTGTCTTTTCATACGGGGTCGGGTGCAAATACAAAGTTTTTTTTAAAACGGGGTGTAAAATCTAATTTGGACTATAAAATGGGATGCAAATCAAATTATCCCAAAAACCTTTACTATTTTCCTTTTAAAACAATGAATTTGTGGCTTTGTTCATTTCTCTCTCTCGTGCCCAAACACACAGTTTTTTTCTAATTTCATTCCAATACAAAGTTGGCAAAGTTAATAAAATAAAGAAAAAACTATATAAAAAAACATCGATAAAACAGTCCTCCTAAGCAATTTCAGCCATTAAAGTACATTCAAATCTTACTTAAAAAGTATTTTTAATGGTTCCACAATTAAAATTGTTGTATTAAAAAAATAGGGGATTGTCAAGCGGGCCCTATGCTTATCTCATTAATCTATTCTCATTAAGGTTATGTTTGGCAGACATAAGTCTCCGTCTTCTAGCTTTTGTACTGTTCACATGGGCGGAGCTAGGGGTAGGCCAACCTAGGCCATGACCCACCCCAAATTTTAAAATTGGCTTATTTTTTAAGGTAAAAAATTTCGTGAATTTTTTTCTGAAAATATTCTTTGTATCGGCCCAGTCCCCTGGCTCCGCCCCTGACTGTTCAAAAAGTCTCTTAAAGCTTTTAGTTGTATGTTTGGCATGACAAATTTTAAGAGCTTTTCAAAAATTAAAAGATTTTTTTGAGATGCTACAGGGAGTAGTATCTGAGAAAAGCTCGTGACTTTTAGTATTAATTAATCCCAACAGCTTGTATATCATTCCGAACAAAATCAAACAGTCAGCTTTTTACCGAGCAGTTAACACCTTTTCTTTTTAAGATCTTTTCAGTCACTAAAAGCTAACGGTCACTAAAAGCTAACAGTTATTAAAAAGCTCACAAAAATATCTTTCAGCTAGTTGCGACAAACATACCTTTCCGGGCTTTTCATAAACAAGCAAGAAAAATTTTGTTTAAACTGTTTTGAGACAAAAAAGAGCACTGGCTTACTTCAAGATCCTTAAGTTCAAAATAGGCCCTCCAGCAGCTATACGAAGCATCCCCTTCAAGAGCAGAGCAATAATCTGAAGATTACATAATAACAAAAAATACAAACTCAGTTTCCTACACATGGCCGAACAACCAAAAAATTTAAAAGAATACACCCAATAATCTGTCGCACCTGCGATTTCGCTTTCGCACTTCTGAATGAGAGGAGGGTCTTTAACGATTCTGTCGAACTTGCTCCTGCTAAAAGGCTCGCGCTTAGGTATAGAACCGTTGCTTCGGGAAACACATCGGATTGTCGACGGAATTATGACTGCTCTCGAGCCGTTGCTTTTATTCACATCTTCAGAATAAACAGTTAAATAAGACGGCAATGGCGGAAGAGGGTTCAAAACAACCGATCTCAGCATTTTTTATTCGCTCATGAAACGCTGTAGGATTTAGGATATTCTGTCATCGATCGTTTTAAGGAGAATTTGTACGATATGACTCATAGATGCATATGGATAAGCATGAGATGTTTTTTTATTGATTTTTTGTAGGGCCACAGAAAGAGAAGGCCGAATGGAGTGTATAGAGTCATAGAAGAGAGAGGCCTGGCCGCCATTGATCCTTGCCAAAAAACAGAATATTATCCTTTTCGTAACGTTTCCCTTTAATTTTTATTAATAAAGTAAAATTTTGAAAAAAATTCTGAAATTGGAGTAAAAAAATTTGAAATTTTTAAAATACGACAGCCATATTTTCATTCTCAAAATAGAAGTGATAACTGAATATAATCTATAACAGTATAGAATTTTGGTATGTTTTTCCATGCAATGTCAATATCTAGACGGTCTCCTCGACGTTGTCCCATTCAAACTTCGGATGTTTTCTTGTGGACTAGAATTTGATGGTCTGGTCTGGTCTGGTCCGGTAAATGTCCAGTCTCTGTGTATTTTATAAGGGAAAAATAATTAAAAATACCTCAAACTTTGAAGGGGTGTGAGGTAAGCACCCCAAACTTGCATATGTAATTTAAATACCATAAACTTTATATAAAGAGTTATTTTAGCACTATGGTAATGTATTATTTCTTTCAAAAATGTCAGTTTTTGGTGTTAATTTCATAATTTAAAATATTTTAGCATTCATGAAGATACAATTAACATTATAAACTTCCATTGTAAAATAAATAATACTACTCCCACTCTATATAATTGGAGTGTTTTTAATTTTTTATTCTAAATTATTCAATTAACAACATAAATATATATTTTTGAAAAAAATTATATATGACCATGGTGTTAAAATAACTTTTTATATAAAGTTTAGGGTATTTAAATGACATATGAAAGTTTGGGATATTTATCTCACACCTCTTCAAAGTTTGGGGTATTTTAATTATTTTTCCCTACCCATTTTATAACTATGAAAGTCTGGTCTAGTCTGATCTGATCAGGTCTAGTCTAGTCTGATCTTGAAAGGAAAATAATCCAAAAGAAAACACCCTTCATCTTCATCAAGGGAGTGTTTGCAAAAAAAATAAAAAGTGTTTTTCAGCTTTTGACTTAAAAAAAAATTGAAACAAGTGTTTTCAAGTGACATCTTTTACTTAAATTAAGTACTTAACATCTAAAAGTTGAAAGGGGTTGGGGGGTGTTTTAAACTGATTTTCACTTTTTCTATTACACAAAAAGCACGTATTTCATCAACCGCTACCAACTTTTACTTTTTTAAAATCACTTTTTTTTTCAAACGTTACCACTTTTTACTATTAATCACTTTTTCCAAAATCACTTCAAAAAATCATTTTTTAAAAATAGAAGCAATGACAAACACTCCCTAAGTAGTCTAATTAAAAGCACTTTTAAAAAACACTTTTGGAAGTGATTTTGGAAAAAGTGATTAGTTGCAAAAGTTGAGTGTTTGACAACAGTAAAAGTTGATAGTGTTTGGTAAATAAGTGCTTTTTGTGTAATAGAAAAAGTAAAAAACATTTTTCGCACAAAAGCCGAGAAACGCTTTTTAAAGTAGAAGTTGTCACTTGAAAACATTAATTCTAACATTTTTAAGCCAAAAGTTGAGAAACGTCTTTTAAGCAGTTGCAAACACTCCCTAAGACTAGTGTAACGAGTAGAATATGGTGTGGTATGGAAAGAAGTAAGTATAGAATAAGTTGAAGACTATCAATATAATGGTCGAAAATGTTAATTATGCTTCTTTATTATGGATATAATCTAGTGTAGAATGAGTGGAATATGACGTAAAATGAAAAGAGGTACGTATAGGATGGGTTGAAGACCATCAACATGATGGGCGAAAATGTTATTTATGTTTTTTATTACAGGCAGAATCTAGAGTATGATGATCGAAGATGTTTTATATTTTTGATTACAGGTAGAATTAGTGTAGAATGGTTAAAATATGGTGTAGAATACAAAGAAATGAGTATGTAATGGGTTGAATATCATGAGCATGATGGTTGAAGACATTTTTATGTTTTTTTATGAAGTAAAATCTAGTATATAATGAATAGATATCACCAATATGATGGTAAAAAAATTGTACTCCCCTCATGATAGAATGTTTGATTATATGCTAATTATAAAATCTAAATAATATTTTAGTATTATCTCTATATCTTGTAATTGTTTTTTTGGGACCAAATATCTTGTAATTGTTTAATAAACTTACATTGTTAAACACTTGATACACATCCACTCAAGATAATAAAGATCTATATAAATGATATTCCAACCTAAATTTGCCCTGTATCTACACTTGATCATGAGGGGTAAACCCTCCTATCTGCACTTGTGAATAAAAAATTAATCATATTTGATTTAATTACACTTTCATGTATATTATGTGGATGTGTATTTACTTTTAGATATTTTCACACAAGCTTATGTATCAAAGCATAAATAACATTTTCGGTCATCACGTTGGTGATATTCTTCCCACGAGGTCCAAGGTCGTTACTGTTGAATACTCTCCAGACCTTGTACTATCCTAGTACTATCCTCACAAATCATGAATATGCATGTTTTCACTGCGCACTTTGTCCTCACTCATGCGTACCCTGGAAAACCTCCTGCTGTCACCCATCCTAAGATTGCTCTTGTGCGATCACACTTAATTTGAAGTTCTTACATACGAGCTCCCTTAAAAGAATATGCACCTTATTGGTGCAAATATTACTATTAATTAATCCGTTTAAACTAATCTTATGTATTACAAGACACCTGTAAGAATGTACCATACATCGATAGCAACAACCTTCCTCACCGCTCGAAAACCACTGATGCATGCAAAAAATGCACAAAGAGACACTTGAACTTTTGGTCCTTATCAACCTCCAAGTGTCCGATAACAGTCTCATCAATACATTTGTTTAACATGTGCAAATATAAGGATAATAGCTTGTAACTGTCCTTGGGCCCTTTAAACACTTTTTCAGTAGCGTGCTTTCTACCTAACTATGTATTTGCATAGGTTATGGTATATTGTGAACCACTTAGAATAGACAAAATTGTATCCCCTACAAGTCTATTGCGACTTCCAGTCGAGCAGTTGTGAACCTTGTTATATCTTCGATCACAAATTTGGATGAGTTATTTGTATTTGATGCATGCATCATCCAATCACAACTGCCATTTAAACATTTAAGGACATTACCTTGTCCTTTCGCATTTTATGTTTTGGTTTCAAAATTACCCCGAATCAACACCATTTTCAAAATTCAAGTTATCCTTAAAGGTTCCATTACAAATTATATCATCCTCAAGTGCAAGTTTTTGAATGTCCACACTTGTCCCTTGATAATCATTGTCCCAATGCTCACAATTAGAAACACTCTCTTTAGAAGTGTTTCAGACTCCTCACAAACCATTCTTTGCTACAATATGTTGGGGTTCTACTAAGGGCAATGTCTTATTGATCATGTCCTGAAGCTTTATAGTCTTCAACAATATTACCATCAAAGGAGTCATCAAACACTACTTTTAGACCAACTTTACATGGTTCATGTAGATCCTTAATCCAATGTCACTTTTTTATTTTCAAGTGCCATTTCTACTTGATTAACCTAGACATTCAACAACATACTTTGCGCTTCCTTATCTTTTAAAAGGTACTTGAAACCTGTAATGTGGAGGTACTATCTTTTTATGCCAAAATGTGGAATTTGAAATGACGCCTGTAATTTATGTGACTACGGACTAAATCCAACCTCTTCATATATGCATTTACATAATAAATCAAACTCATGCTTCAAGTCATCCCATTCAAATGATGTAATCTTGTTATGATCTCCTTGAAAGTAATACTCATCCTTTTCATTCATCTTCCATTGTCCACCGTACATAACATACAACTGTATAAGAGCCAAATCTGTATAAAATAAAGATTATCATTAATGTTTTTGGTAAAAGAATGTGATTAAATATGGTAGGTAAGAAAATACATGAATATAGACAACTTATATATGCTTAAATGAGATGAAATGGATTTGTTAAATATGGGTAAAATGGGGTCAAATAGGGTAGAGTATGGGTTGAAAAGAGTATATAATGGGTGGAAAATGGTAAGTTGGGTTGAAAAATGTATGTTGTGATATGTCATGTGTTAAAAAGGTTGGGAGAATGGGTTAACTGAGTAGGTATAACATATAGTCCTATTTGAGTATGAGTTGAACAACTTGATAAAGTATGAGTACCAATAAGTGAGTTGTGTATGTCCAAATAGGTATAGAGCGATGTAAAGTTATGAGCTGAAATACAAAACATCTTCAATATCTTTTAGTGCCAATCAATACTTAATGAATATACACTTCTTCAGCTACATAATGTTGACTAGCGAAGATGATGGAAAACAAGGACATCAGACTCAAGAGGCGCAAGCAAGAAGATGATGGACATAAGAAAACTTCGTTTTATTTTTATTTGGATAAACTCACGACTATAAAGGACAAAGAGAAAGGCAGTAAAGAAAATAGATACATATGCTCTATTCTAAGGGTAGCCTCCTAATTTCAACATGTTTTTGGTTATTTTTAAAAAGTGTCTCATACAAATGGTCTAAATTAATCTTAAATTTGACCGGTTTTGCCCAGTTCTACTTGATTTAGATAGGAGTTTATGGGGTTTGGTATTATTTCATGGAAAAATTGACAAGAATAATCTCACCTTTCATTGGTCTTCTCATAATAATCCCACCTTTAAGTAATCCTAGAATAGTCTCACCTTTGCACCCTATCTTCTTTCATTGGACCCTGACCAAGTTTTTTCCTCTTTTTTTGAAAATCATATAAAAAATATCACCTTTCACTTTTTTATTATATCTTTATAAATGTGAGATTATTTATATAAGATTTTCAAAGAAAGGTAATAAACTTGGTCAGGGTCTAATGAAAGAAGATGGGGTACAAAGGTGGGATTATTTTGGGATTATATAAAGGTGGGATTATTATGAGAAAACCAGTGAAAAGTGGGATTATTCTTATCAATTTTTCCTTATTTCATTTAAAGCATGTACATGAGCGGTGAATTGACCACATCAACG